TTCACCATGTTACACGAGCTGGTCTCAAACTCCTGGACTGAAACAACCCGCCCACCTCAGCTTCCAAAAGTGCTGGGATTACAGGCGTGAGCCACCAAGCCCGACCCTGGATTCTTTTAAAACAAGTTTTCGGCTGGGTGCAGTGTCTCACGCCTGTAATCCCAGTAACTTTGGGAGGCCGAGGTGGGTGGATCACTTGAGGTCAGGAGTTCGAGACCAGCCTGGCTAACATGGTGAAACCCTGTCTCTACTAAAAATACAAAAATTAGCCGGGCATGGTAGCGCACACCTGTAATTCCAGCTACTTGGGAGGTTGAGGCACGAGAATTGCTTGAACCCAGGAGGTGGAGGTTACAGTGAGCCGAGATGGTGCCACTGCACTCCAGCCTGGGTGACTGAGTAAGACTCTGTCTCAACAACCACAAAAAAAAAACAAAAGTTTTCATTAGTCCAAGAAAGCCTATGTATGTGTGGTTGTGCATGTATATATGTGGGTTTAGTGATATAATTTTTTTCTGACATCTGTTTTTATATATATATGTATATACACACACATAGGCTAGGCACGATGGCTCATGCCTATAATGCCAACACTTTGGGAGACTGAGGCGGAAAAATCATTTGAGCCCAGGAGTTCAAGACCAGCCTGAGCAACATGGTGGGACCTCATCTCTCCAAAAAAAAAAAAAAATTAATTAGCTAAGATTGGTAGTGTGTGCTTGTAGTCCCAGCTACTTGGGAGGCTGAGTCCGGAGGACCCTTTGAGCCCAGGAGTTCGAAGTTGCAGTGAGCCATGATGGTGCCACTGTACTTAAAAGTATGTCACCCTGGGTGACAGAGTGAGACTCTGACTCTTAAAACAAAAACATACTTATAAAGCACATTATCCTTGGTTTGGAAAAGAGTATTTAGAAATTCTCTTTTAGGCCAGGCACAGTGGCTCACGCCTGTAATCACAGCACTTTGGGAGACTGAGGCAGGCAGATCACTTGAGGTCAAGAGTTCGAGACCAGCCTGGACAGTATGGTGAAACCCCATCTCTACTAAAAAATAAATAAATAAATACAAAACTTAGCTGGGCATGGTGGCATGCACCTGTAGTCCCAGCTACTTGAGAGGCTGAGGCATTAGAATCACTTGAATCCCAGAGACAGAGGTTGCAGTGAGCTGAGATCGCACCACTGCACTCCAGCCTGGGCAATACAGTGAACTCTGTCAAAAAAAAAAAAAAAAAAAAAAGCGTTTTAATTTTTTGTTAAATTAAATACAGTCATTTACACTAAAATAATGTGAAATTTTATGTAAGCATAAAATAAGGTCCTGTAATTGGGTTAGTCATTCTTTTCTCAAATCATGAAACTACAATATGCCATGCAAAAAATAGTAAGTCATAGAATGTTAGAGCTCAAGTGGGTTTATAAACCTCCTGCCCCAGCCCCATCTTTGTAAAGCCACAGACCCTGGGGTCCCAGTGAAATCGCTTATCAAGGTCACAGATCCCATTAGTAACAGAACCAGCACCTTATTCAGGTATCTAGATGCCATGTCCAGGGTTTTGTCCCATTATACCGTCATTCTGCCTCTGCTCATTTGCAGAGTATCCATTGTTGCTTCCCCAGGAAAGCCCCTATCTGAAGACTGTCATCCTCCATTTTCCTAGCCCGTTAGAGTCCAAGAGTCAGACCTGTAGAGCAACATCATCTAGCTCAGGGGTTGCAGCCTGATTGAATCTGGCCTATGAAAATGTTTTATTTAGTTAGCACAATTTAAAAAAAAAAAATAAGAATGTAGGCTGGGCGTGGTGACTCACGCCTGTAATCCCATCACTTTGGGAGGCTAAGGCTGGTGGATCACTTGAGGCCAGGAGTTTGAGACCAGCCTGGCCAACATGATGAAACCCTGTCACTACTAAAAACACAAATATTAGCTGGGCATGGTGGCGTGCACCTGTAATCCAGCTCCTCAGGAGCCCAAACCTCCCTTTCTGTTGCCTATATCCCAGATAACTCAAATTATTTGCTGTCCCCTTTATATTCTGTGTCACTCCTGCTACATGAAATGCCCTGTTCTGAATAGTGTCATGCAGTAGGATAAGCAGGGCCTTTAGAGTCAGGTCTAGGTTCTAATTCAGACCCTTGCCCTTACTAGTTGAGAAAGTTACTTAACTCATCTGAACTTCAATTTCCTCATCTAAAAAATGGGAATAATAATCCTTGTCTCAAAAATTTGTTACAAGATGTAATGCCTGGCACATGGGAACAGCTAAACAAGTGACAGTGTTATTGATTCTACCCAACTCTGATGGTGCTTCCTCCTTGGCTTCTCCCTTGTGCTCCCACTGGGAAATCAGCTTTCCCTCTCATGTCATATATCATCAGGTCCACCTGTTCCCACTTTTATGGCTCTTATCTGTATCTACTACCTTATATGATACTCATTTCTATCTATGTCTTGTCTCTCCCACCAGCCTAAGAACCTCTTGAAAGCAGTATCCATCTGTGACTCACTCTGTATGCCTGACAGCCCCAAGAACAATGGCTTGAACACGGTATGTGTCCAGGTATGTATTGAATGAATAGTATGTATTCACTAACTATATATAACACCTATTAGATGTGTCATGTTGCCTTGAGATATAAGCAGGGGCCACATCACTTGTTCTGAATAACGCCTAGCCTCAGTGCTTAGCAAATACTCAAACAACATTGAGGACTGAAGCTGCCAACATAAAAATAAAGGACAAACAGAAAAGTTGGCAATATAGTCACCTTTCAGAGGGATGGTATTTTTATTTTCCATTAGTTTAAGTTATAATCATGTGCAGTCGCACATGCCTGTAGTCCTAGCTACTGGGGAGGATGAGGCGGGAAGATTGCTTGAACCCGGGAGATCCAGGCTGCAGTGAGCTGAGATCATGCCACTGCACTCCAGCCTGGGCAACACAGTGAGACTTCATCTCAAAAACAAAAATTGAAAAAAAAAGAAAGAAAAGGAAAGAATAAAAACCTTTACTTGCCCCTAGCTTATGAAACTTTTGCCCTTCCACCATATGTTTTATTGAACTGCTTTTTTTCTTACAAATCTTAATCTCTCTGATATGCCTTAGCTCGCGATTTTTAGCACACTTTTAGTTACCATCCTCTTCACAAAGTCATTCCATTCCTAGCGCTTATGATGAGATTCGTTTTACTGTGGATACAGCACCAAGCAGTTTACTATAATATGTAAACAAAACACAACAAAGCTGAAACATTCCTCCTTTTCCTTTCTGTGAACTCTCACTTTTCTATTTATGTGGCACAACCTGCATATCCTTAACTTTTTAAGGATCAGCATTTCAGATACTACCAGGAGTTTACTCTTGGTCAGGCCACAATAAGACAAACCATTAAAAGATCAAACACAATCAAATGACCTGCAGGAACTTCAACGGTGTACATATTCTGACCAAAAGTGGGCAGAGAGCATGTGCAGGAAAAGCACAGACTCCACAGGGCAAATCAGAAGGGCTGCACAAGAAATACCAGCTGGCAGCAGTTATCAATGTACTACTACTTTCTTTTCCTTTTTTTGAGATGGAGTTTCACTCTTGTCGCCCAGGCTGTAGTGCAATGGTATGGTCTTAACTCACTGCAACCTCCACCTCCTGGGTTCAAGTGATTCTCCTGCCTCAGCCTCCTGAGTAGCTGGAATTACAGGTGCCCGCCACCATGCGCAGCTATTTTTTTTTTTTTTTTTTTAATTTTTAGTAGAGACAGGGTTTCACTGTGTTAGCCAGGTTGGTCTCGAACTCCTCATCTCAGGTGATCCACCCGCGTCGGCCTCCCAAAGTACTGGGATTACAGGCGTGAGCCACCTCGCCCAGCCTCGCACTACCACTTTCAAATCTTTCTTTCTCCCTGCTCTTGGTTGACTGCATCTGCCTAAGAAGGTTGCCACACTGGTCCTAGACCCTGTATTTGGTGATAAATTCACTCAAAACAAAGTTATAACCATATAGGACATACTTGCCAATAACTCTGACTTTATTTTTCACAATCATCTTTCAGACAAGAGAAAAAATTAATTTTCACTCCACCCAATCATTACCCTCCATTCTTCTGGGTACATGCTTTGGCATAAAGGGTTGGTTTGCCTGCACTCTCGTTGGGGATGTTTATTATTCTTTCTTTTACTCCAAGCCACCTGCCAACCAGCAGAAAGCAAACACACAATGGGGGAAGGAGAGAGCTTCCCACAGCTGAGTCAGTTGTGACCACTGGAAAAGCCAAGCTAGGTGAAGTTCCTTCAGCCCAGCAGCCCCCAACCCTATCCCTATTTTACTCCCTGGGGGCTGGGCCCCTTGCAGCAGGGAGTAAGTAGGCAGCTCTTTGTTCCACACTCAAGCAGAATTCAGTGGCATGTGAAGCCATCCAATAATCCTGAACTTGGACTGACCTTGACCTAAACCATAGCTCAGTGTGATAAAGAAAATAATTCACTGGGGCAAAGGAGCTTTCCTTAAAAAATAACTTGCCATGGTGAATTTTTTACTGCCCCCCACACTTATCTGTAGCAACCAGAGACCAGTACAAAATTATTAATCAAGCTGCTGACCTTAATCCCCAATTGTTTAGGAGGTGCTGGGGCAGTTCCTTGGTCAGCTTGGATGTCACTTTTCCCCAGACAGGGGTGCTGAATATGTCTAACAGTACAGCAGATTGTCCCTTAAGAACAACCATCTGCCAAGTAAGGGTAATTGCTGAGCAAGAGGGTCCCTGGCACAGCTACAGATCATGTCTTATAAGGTCAAAACCACTAAAGGAAAAGGCCCAAAGTTCTGGTTGTATCTACCACTTTCCACTTCTACTACCTCCACTCCCCAAGTGTGGGAAACCCATTCACCTCAGAGATCTGGGCTGGGAGTCACCCTGCAATCTCCCTTCCCTTGGTGGTGCGGAAAGGCTTAAAGGCCAGACACACCAGCTCAGAGAAACAGCTCATCGAAGCCTTGCACTTACTTCTCATAGCGCTGATAAGCGCGTTGCCGTCTTTGATCACGTCTTTGATGAATTTGTTGGTCCTCTCCAGTTCCTGCTCATAACACTTGAGTCTCTCGCGGAAATCGGGGCTGTCCAGGTAGCAGTCGCTGAACTCCAGCGGGGGATGACCCATGGTTCTGATGGCCGGGAGTAGGGGGAAACGGGGAAGACACAAAGACCGAGGGCATCAATGGCACAGTAGAGGAAGTAGAGGGGACAGACTGAGCGCGCGACCCGCTTAAGGAAACTCATAGCCTCCGTCCCTTTGGAGGACAGGTACCTGTTTCAGTGAGACTCCTGGGGAGCGCTGGCTGGTCCGGGCGGAGAACAGGCGCCCCGGCAACGGCTTCAGGGCCAGGGAGAGCTAACTACCGCAGTCGGATCCCGGCAGGGTGTTGCCTAGCAAGCAGCATGCCCCCTAGGTATCGCCTCCCCAGATAGGCAGCAAAAACCGCAGCCCGACTTGCCTCCGGAGACTGGCCGGATCCTTCCTGAGCAATTGCAAACGTGACACTTGGGCCCGCCCAGGGTGTAGACGAGGTTAGAGCTGGAGCTGGGAGCAGCCTATCTACAGGCTCCTCGCTCCCGAGCGAGCGGAAGACTTCCTTCGCCGAACTCCGCGGGCAACCCGGATTGCACTGTCCCCTCCCCTTTCTTAAAGCCAACGCCTGCGCCCCGCCCCAGTGAAGCCCGAGGACCAAACCGGAGAGCTCTGGCTCCTTCTTCAACTGTTTTCCTTGTACCTTAGGGTTTCGTGACCAGGGCCCGCGGGCTGCTAAGATTTCTTCCTGGTGCAAGGGAGCCGGCCGGCTGTCCTGTTAGGCGCCGGAAGGGTTAAGCCGGGGCGGCAATGAAACGTAGCCTAGCTCCATAGACACCGCAGCGGGAAGAGGAGGGCGAGAGTGCGACGCACAATAGCCGCGGTGGCCCAGCGCTTCCCTACGGAAACTGGGGAGCAGTCAGCGCCCTAGGACTCCAGCTGGAAAGCGTGGCGGCCTGGGAGATGTAGTCTTTCCGTTTGCACTCCCCGAGACTCCTCCCTGCAGTCTCCCCACCACCCGGCCTGGGCGGCTGCTCTCCCAGAACGGCATTCCCAGCCTGCCGCAGGCTCCTGAGCAGGGACCGGCCCCAAGGGGCAGGTGCGCGGTGCTGGACTCTGCGGGGGAAGTTTCCAAAACTAGAGCAAGAACCCGCAAGACTAGATTGCAGGAAGCCATCTCTCACTTCCCATGATTCGGCTGGGTTGTGTATTCTTTTGCCTTCCCCTCTTTCCAGCCTCCTTCGGACCTACCAACTTCTTTTCCTCTTTCTTTTCCCACGTCTCCTGCTCCAAGCGCTCTAATTCCCGTGGGCCTTCGACCTGAAGGGTTGACTCCTACTCTAGGGTATCTGTGAAGCTCAGTGCCCCCTGCCAAAGAAAGGGAGGCCATAATTCAGAGTTAATATTTTCCTGAATAGGACCTCAGAGCATGGCTTTTGTGGCAGACGCCAATGATTAATGCACATGATTTTCCATGTGTAAGTGGAAAGTCTAAGAAGAGGATGTTATAAATTGTCTTGCAGCTTACCTTGAAGGCAACTGTCTTGAGACTAAGGTTAGGTAGAGGCTCGAAAAACTAAAAAATAGTTTGTGCGTGGGCAAAGAGATCCCTTTAATTCTGCAGAAGTGTTTCAATTAGATTGCCCTGTGAGGAAAGCCAGAACGGATTAATAGTGGCTAACCCACCTGAATTAGGGTCCTGTTGCTGCTGTGACAAATTACCACAAACTTGGTGGCCTAAATCAGCATAAAGTTATAATCTACAGCTCCAAAAGGCAGAAATCAGAAATGGGCCTCACTCGGATCAAATCAAGATGTTAGAAGGGTTGTGTTCATTTCCAGATACTCTAGGGGTAGAATCTGTTTCCTTACCTTTTCCGGCTCAAGCTGCTCACATCTTTTGGCTCATAGCTCCCTTCCTCCTTCTTTAAAGCTAGTACTGGCCAGTCAAGTCTTTCTCATGCTGCATCACTGTGACTCTCATGCCTCCCCTTAAGGACCCTTATGATTACACTGGGTCCACAGGATAATCTCCCCCATCACATCATCCTTAACTTAATCACATCTGCAAATTTCATTTTGCCACATAAGATAACATAGCCACAGGTTTCAGGGATCAGAACATGGACATCTGTGAAGGAGGAAGCATTATTCTACCCACCACACAACCTATCGCCCACCTCACTAATCTTCAAAACAACCCTATGAGGTTGGTTGTATTATTATACCCATTTAAAGATGGAGAAGCTGGGTCAAAGAGAGTTTAAGTGACTTGCCCAAGGACAAACAACTTAGTTAAGTGGCGGCACTTGAACTTCAGCCCAACTTGATCACTACACTATATAGCAGAATGGCAAAGAGTCCAATGAGAAAGAGCCCTCTGAAAATAAATAAGTAGCCACATCTCAGGGAAAAGTTTTGTTTCTTACTCTTTTTATCTTTAAGGTTAATTTATGGGAAAATGTCCAAAATGAGCTTTAAATGCACCGTGGGTTGAAAAATGCAGGTACTAAGGGAAGGTGCCCATTCAGTGGGTATATTGTCTTTCACACTAGTATGTTTCCTTTTAGCATTCATTCACTCATTTAACAAGCATTTTTTGAACACCTGCTATATACTTTTATTTATAGAGCCTATACATATATTTTCATCTCTATAAAAATTGTCATTGACAGTTTTTAAAATGTTATTTATTTATGTATTTTTTTGTTTGAGAAAGGGTCTCACCCTGTTGCCCAGGCTAAAGTGCAATGAATAGCTCAATCACGGTTCCCTGCAGCCTTGACCTCCCTGGGCTCAGGTGATCCTCCCACCTCAGCCTCCTCCTGAGTAGCTGGAACTACAGGCACATGCCACCGCACCTGGCTAATTTTTGTATTTTTTTGTAGAGATGGGGTTTCGCTCTGTTGGCCTAGGCTAGAGGGATCCACCCACTGCAGCCCCCACCAAAGTGCTGGGATTATAGGTGTGAGCCACCGCGCCCAACTGCTATTGACATTATTGGTGTTAGATGCAATCATACTCATCTGAGTTCCTATACCCAAGGTGTTTTACAGTCATCTGTGTTATCCTTTATCTAGACAATGAAACTACAGCACAGAAATAATAAATTCCCTAGAACAGATACTGAAGAAGAAACAGCGTTAAAATTAGAACTCACACAGGGCATGGTGACTCACACTTGTAAACCCAGCACTTTGGGAGGTCAAGGCAGGCAGATCACCTGAGGTCAGGAATTCAAGACCAGCCTGGCCAACATGACAAAACCCCATCTCTATTAAAAATAAAAAATTAGCCAGGTGTGGTGATGTGCACCTGTAATCTCAGCTAGTCAGGAGTCTGAGGCAGGAGAATCGCTTGAACCCAGAATGCAGAGGTTGCAGTGAGCCAAGATTGGGCCACTGCACTCCAGCCTGGGTGACAGAGCAAGACTCCATCTCAAAAAAAAAAAAAAAAAAAAACAAACAAACAAAAAAAAACACACAAAAAAACTCAGTTCCTCAGATAATACTTGCATTCATCAAGCACTATCTTAATTGCTTTGCACAATTTCTCCCTGACCCTCACGGCTAACCCTATGTGACTGAGAGTCTTTAAATTTTTGTTCACATAACCCCTAAAAGAATTTTGGGGAGCTATGTATCCTTCATTTTTAAGTTAACATCTTTTTTGTTTTGTTTTGTTTTTGTTTTTGTTTTTTTTTGAGACAGAGTCTCGCTCTGTCGCCCAGGCTAGAGTGTGGTGGCACAATCTCCACTCACTGCAACCTCCACCTCCCAGGTTCAAGCAATTCTCCTGCCTCAGCCTCCCGAGTAGCTGGGATTACAGGCACATGTCACCACGCCCGCTTATTTATTTATTTATTTTTAGTAGAGATTGGGTTCACCATGTTGGTCAGGCTGGCCTTGAACTCCTGACCTTGAGCGAGTCACCCACCTCAGCCTCCCAAAGTGCTGGAATTACAGGCGTGAGCCACCACCCCCGGCCCAACATCTAAATTTTTTCATTATGCTTAAATAGTTGCAAAAATTTAATTTCTAACATACTAGAAATATCAACATTTTAAAATAAAGCTGTTATATCACTCTTTTAAAAGTATTCAATCTGACATCCATCATCAAATGCACAAAGCAAAACAAATTGTAAACATCTTGAATCTTCAAAAAATTTACATTGTTCCTTTTTTTCTTCTTCAAATCAATTATCTATACATTTTCCCCACAGAAATTTCATCCTTTTTTTTCTTTTTCTTTTTTTTTTAATAGTCTTACTCTGTCACCCAGGCTGAAGTGCAGTGGCACAATCTTAAGTGCACTGCAGCCTTGAACTCCTGAGCTCAAACGATTCTCCCATCTCAGACTCCCAAGTAGTTAAGAGTATATGCCTGAGCCACCATGCCTGGCTAATTTTTTTTGTTTTTTTTTTTTGTTTGTTTGTTTGTTTTTTGTTTTTTTTGTAGAGACAGAGTCTCACCATGTTGTCCAGGCTGGTCTCAAATTCCTGGCTTCAAGCAATCCTCCTGCCTCAACCCCACAAAGCCCTGGGATTATAGACATAAGCCACCACACCTGGTCAACCATCATACTTCTATACTTAAAGTCTATTGATCACCATATCGAATTTCTCTGCAACAAAAATATGCTCATAAACAGATTTTTTTTTTTAAACCGGGTCTCACTCTGTCACCCAGGCTGGCGTACAATGGTGCAATCACAGCTCACTGCAGCCTCAAATTCCCAGGCTCACACGATCCTCCCACTTCAGTCCCAAGTAGCTGGGACTACAGGCGCACGCCACCATGTCCTACTAATTTTAAAATTTTTAATAGAGACAAGGCCTCCCTATGTTCCCCAGGCTGGTCTCGAACTCCCGAGCCCAGGAAGTCAAGGCAATTCTCCTGCCTTGGCTTCTCAAAGTGCTGGAATTACAGGCGTCAGCCACCATGCACAGCCCATAAATAGAAAGTTAATTCTTTTTATTTCCCTGTGACCATAGGCTTCACGGATTAAAAAGCTTCTGTGATTATTAAGCATACACAATAGAGTAAAATAATGTGAACACATTGTAATTATTATTAAATATAAAATTTTATTGGGGCTGGGTGTGGTGGCTCACATCTATAATCCCAGCACTTTGGGAGGCCAATGCCAGCAGATCACTTGAGGCCAGGAATTCAAGACCAGCCTGGCCAACATGGTGAAACCCTATCTCTACTAAAATACAAAAAAAAAAAAAAAAAAAAAATAGCCAGGCATGGTGGAGTGAACCTGTAATGCTAGCTACTCAGGAGGCTGAGGCAGGAGAATCGCTTGAATCCGGGAGGCGGAGGTTGCAGTGAGCCAAGATCACACCATTGCACTCCAGCCGACAGAGTGAGACTCTCTCTCAGAAAAAAAAAAAAAAAAATTATTGGAGCTGCGTCTCTTAGTAAGATGGATAAGAAAGGGGTAGGTTTCAGGGCATTGAGTTAAAGAAGATTCCTGAACACCAATATTTTAAATTCTTTCTATGTTTAGCCCCAAGGGTTTTTATACCTTGGGCCAAAGCACCATAGTAAGATTCTTGATGTTTAAAAGGTATGCTTTCCCTTTGAGATATTGAGCAAGGGAGGTAGGAAAGGAAAACTGGAGGTGAGTTCTCAGACAAATGATTTTTAGAAAAAGTACTAAAGAAAATTGCATATTCGGAAATTGGTTCACTTTCGGCTACCTGGTGACCTCAAAGCCGTTGGACAGTTTCCATGTACCTTGCTCTGGACTGAGTATTTGTATTCACCCAAAATTTATATGTTGAAATCCTAACCCTCAAGGTGATGGTATTAGGAGGTGGGGCATTGAGACTTGGTTAGGTCATGAGGGTGGGGCCTTCATGAGCCGGATGAGTGCACTTGTAAAAGAGGCTTGA